CCGACCGTAAGGTGACTTTTGGGTCAGGGTAATGAAAGACTTTCAGGTAGCTATCGACACAGACTTTACAGGATATTTCATAATTGAAGCAAGCGACATAGATTTGGTCTCATTCCATTAAACTACAGACAATAGCGCTTGGCACGACAAATCTAAATATCCATCTACTCAAAAGCGAAAGTGCTGACTGCATCAGCGAATAAAATGATGCGGCAAAATAGCTTAAATGGGGGTTGAAAAACTGCTCTGCTTTGATCACTCGTTTCACAAGATATCTTGGAATCTACAATAAGAATAATTTGAACTCACCGTTTCAAGATTTTTACGTACTGTTGAAATCAAACTCAACGCGTGGCAAAACAGATCAATTTGTCGATATAATCAGTATCATGTCCGTGAGATACTGGTCAGCAGATAGGGAGGCACAACGCATGCGCATGTAAAAGTAATCAGTTGGGTATCCGCATTAAAACATAGAAGCTGTTTATCTTCATTTCTGAGTGCTCTTCACTGCCTAATAGCAGTGCTTATCAGCTCAATTACAATTAGACCTGTTGAAATAAAGAACATTTCTGAAATAGAATTCCGATTTCATTTTGGAACGAAAAGAGTACAGTGTATTGCTTGCGAGGTAAGTGAATAAAACAGCGAGACATTTCCAAGCACGTCCATGACATCACTGTAGCCTTTTTTGAGCTGGAAAATAAATAACATTTTGTTGAACAAAATCATTCTAAATTTCCATCATCCTAAACTGTGACAAGCTGGGTCCATTTGCTGTTACTCGTGTAATCTGTCCTGTTTTCTTTCTTTCGTTCCTTTCTTTTTTCTCTTCTTCCCTGCTTTATTTTGTCATGGTTGCTACTACCAAACTGTTCAATGTTAATTGGTTAGAAATCATGTATATTCAATTCAAAGCATGAATGTCACTTCAGTTTTTGCCCTTGAAAATTGAACGAAATGTTTAGAGTTTTGTGAAAAAAGTAAATCCATTGACTTAAACATTTGCAGTTTGACCAGTAAAGCATAAAGACTACAGTATTAACGCAAAGTACTTTAAATCTGTAATAACACTTTGTCTAAATCGTCTGGGCGTTCCACTAGCTTGAAACAGAATGAGAAATAATAAAACTTACCGGCCTGGAAGTTTCCAGAACTGATAAGTCAAGCTCCAAATTTTCATTGAACAGAGGTAATTAAGTTATTAATCAGCCTGCTAAGTTAACGTTTGGTCCTGTGAACGGAATTAACGCATGTTTTGGACTCCCTCCCAGTCCGTTCGAGCAGTGTACGCTCCAAATAAGACATTTTGCTTCCTGGTACTGTCGTTGTTCCGCATTCGGAAAGTTTGACGTGAAAACTATCATATAACAATTGTAAGTCAGCGTTTTTCAAGTAGGCGAGCAATGTGAGCACGAGAGAGGTCCGCGAGAAAACATTGCAGCACTTTCACTTCCATTCGTCATTCCCCATCTCCCGTTGCTCATTGCTCATTCCTCGTTTTACGTACGAGAAGTTTTATCCGAGCTTGTCCGATCTTGCCCGAATGATTTCCAAATTTGTGTTGCAATTGTCTGTTTTTCAAAATGGCCCCTTGGAGAGGAACTGTCGGTAGAGCTGTTACTTGCTGCAATCAAAGGAGAAAAATGCTCTGTTTACAGAAGGTCGAAGGGAAATATCCTATGATCCATCTCTATAACCGGAAAAAAATTTTGCTGAAACCGACTGTTACTCGTCTCAGACGCAGTAGTGAACACTTGGATGTTGTTTATTGGACAGTGCCATCTCCTTTAATGACCAGTTGTGTTCACGCTGAAATTCATTTCAGCGAAGGAAAGTTCAGAATTGATTGTAAAGGACTGAATGGGCTGCTGGTCAACAAAACAAAGCGTACCTTTGCTGTTCTTTGCGATAGTGATGTAGCTGTCTTTGGAGGTGCAGGAGTTAAAACGAAAGAATGACAGAGTTTGTCAGCGTACGATTCGGAACTTGTTTATTTTTTCA